CAAATCTTGCAACACCTAGGGTGGTGAAATTTGAGCTCATTTTTCTTCCTAACTCTACTTCAGTAATGTATTATGAATTAAGATAGGATGACCGTGTGAATAAAGAACAGGGCTGCTGCGCCTTTAACAGCTGCATGACAGTATATATCTGCTAAAATTCATGCTTCTACACAACTATTAAAGGTACGACCCTACCTGCCCACAGACTGTCTCACCAGGGTGGTACATGCCCTGGTTATCTCCCGCTTGGACTACTGCGACACACTAGACGTGGGGCTACCTATGAAGGTGACTAGGAAACTACAACTAATACAGAATGCAGCAGCTAGACTGGTTACTGGGAGCAGCCGCTGGGACCATATAGCACCAGTCCTAAAGGACCTTGACTTTATGTTTCCGAGCACAATTCAAAGTGTTGGTGCTGACTTTTAAAGCCCTAAATGGCCTCGGCCTAGTATACCTGAAAGAGTGTCTCCACCAACATCATACAGCCTGGACACTGAGGTCCTCCTCTGAGGGTCTTCTGGTGGTTCCCTCACTGTGAGAAATGAAGTTACAGGGAACCAGGCAGAGGGCCTTCTCAACAGTGGCACCCTCCCATCAGATGTCAAGGAGATAAAGAACTACACAACTTTTAGAAGACATCTGTAGGCAGCCCTGTTATCAGGAAGTTTTTTTAATGCTTGGTGTTTTACTATGTTTTTATATGTAGTGTAAGCCGCCCAGAGTGGCTGGGGAAGTCCAGCCAGATGGACAGGGTATAAATAATAATAATAAAATTATTATTACAGGAGACATGTCCTCTTTTTCACCTGGTCTCCCTACATTTTAACTTCTGTGTAATGTAATGTTATGTGAAAAAAGGAAATATCTCATTCCTTCGTTTGTTATTTCATTCTGTGGATATGAAGTGTTTCTCATCAGCCTTTGAAGTTGATGTGTCTGCATCAAGTCTAGGAAACAGTCTCATCCTCTGAGCCCACCAGCAATCTCTCTAGACATATTACATATTATAAGAAGCCTGTCTCAGTTGGGAAATTTTCACTGGCACTGACTCCTGTCAAATTCAGGGAGTATCAGTTCTTTCACTGCCTTAAATATATCGGCCATAATCTATCAGAATCCAGAATAACTGCATTGTGCATGGATGGAGCACGCCTGGGTGCTCCTACCTGCGTAGTGCCTTAACATGACCAAAGCAGAAAATTAAGAAAATTCCACAGAAACCCAAATGTTTTGGGCCTGGAAAAGTCAGAGTAGGACCCTTGAAATCACTGGCCTTACATTAGTTTTGCTAACTTAAGTCCTTCAATTTCAATGGGTTTACTCAGAGTATGACTTAGTTGGGTGCAGCCCATTGATTAGATGTGGTCTTTTACCCTAACAACATATTCGGATCGGATGAGCATATGTGGGGCTTTCACTCATATGAAGGTATGATTTGTGAGAGCAGCCCATGTGATTTGCACAATCACAGCAATTTTCTGCTTTAGAAAAACAAAACAAAACACCAATCCTCTTAACTTTTCTTTAGACTCACTATCAACTACAATATTAAAAAGAGAAAGTCACGTGCAATGTATTCTTACACCAGTAGCATAAAATAAAGGTGTTGACTTTTACTTTCTGTTGCCTTTTCGTATTATAAGCTCCTCCCTAGAACTATACTAGAGCTATACTCATAGCACAGATCAAAATGTTTCAGAAAGAAAACACCTGATTCTTACATTTGATATATGATTTACCAAAGACTAAAGGGATGTTAATCTTAATGAGCTTTCTCACACTGGATTCCCCTTCCTCTTCTTTGAACAGGTTTGCCCAAATGCTCATCAGCAGCAAAGACCCAATTTAAGAAGAAAATGTTTTGGCACAATCCACCACTGGGAAGTCTTTCTTCAAGGGCCATAAAAAGAACTTAACTAGATCAGGTCGAAGGTCCATCTAGACTCACGGACACCCAGTTGCCTATGGGAAGCCTGCAAGCAGCCCCTGAGTGCAACGTTACTCTCCTCACCTGTGACTACGAGCAGCTGGTATTCAGAGACGTATTGCCTCTGAGACGTATTGCCTCTGACAGTGAAGGTAAAGTGTGGCCATCATGGCTTGCAGCCACTGATAGCCTTAACCTCCCATTTAAATGAAAGAACACTGTACAATAGCACTACTAGGGCTTGTTCAACTCACATGGATTTCAATACGGCTTGTGCAAAGGAAGCTCTGGATGAATCGGGCCCTTACTATTAATTAGCTAACAAAAACAAAACTAAAGAGGAGTTAAAATTTGAGATTTCCAAATCGCTAACGCAAAGTTCATATAGTACTAGTAACTAACTCAAGCACAGAATGCCTTATTGCTGCGTTGCACCTAAGGGCTTTTTCACATAGCTTCGAAGCAACCTGGGATCCAGGTGACCCAGGTCAGAATCCTATGTCCTGGTATAAAATCCCCTAGTATAAAATCCTTGGTCGAAAGGAGATTGTTCTGCTTAGTCGTCTGACATACTAGGATTGAACCATCTTTATAACATCCACCACCCAACATAGCAGAAGTGCATTATGTTGCAACACAGGTACAGAGCCTTAAAATGACAGGTGGTTGTTCATTTGTTTTTTACCATACGCTTGAGTAGCATTAAATAAATATAAACTGAAGGATATCCCAAGTGTGTCCTTCATAATGGCATTACCAAGTCAAGGACAAAAGCTCAATTCAGATGTCATGTTAAACCATGGTTTAGTGTGACGACGACAAACTGCAATGAGCCTCAGATCATATCCTCCCCTCTTCTCACGGAGTACAACCACAATAAGGTGTTTCGAACCTTTGCTTCCGTTTTCACTTAACCACAGTTTGTTGTGTCATCCAAACTGACACACTGTGGTTAACATTAACTAAGGTTTGCAAGAAACAAACCGACTTCATATACTGTTTTGTCTGTTTGGATGGCAACATGTGTTTAAGCAAAAACAGAAGCAAAAAAGGTCTCCAAACTCCTCCTTGCAGCTGTGCTGGATGACAGGAAGGGAAGGTGCACAAGTATAACGTTCACCTGCAGCTTGTTCTCACCCTTGTGCCAAACCATGGTTTAGGGCAACATTCAGATACATTGAATAATTACACAGGTTGAAGGAAAAAAAGCATTTTCTTTAGCATTTTCATCACCAATTTTTAAAGCTTAGTTTTGGAGAAACGTTTATAGAGAGAGATATAAAATGAGAAGGAGATTCACAATAAGAGAAAAAAAATTGCATAACCATGTTGAAGAAGGTAGAAAGGGGGAGGAATATGAACTTGGGTAGGAGGCTAGTCTTTGTGCCAATGGGGTAGGAGCAAGGGGTCTGCACCTTTATACTAATGTATAAAGCTCCAATTAAAAAATAACAATTAAAAATTAAAAGGTAATGGTTTTAAAATCTAAATTTAAAAAGAAATTCAGTAGTAAAATTACAGGGACAGAAGATTTTAAAATCTAAATTTAAAAAGAAATTCAGTAGTAAAATTGCAAGGACAGAAACGCATCCTAATGCCAAAGGGGTAATTCTGGCAAATGTCTCTTGCTGATATCATGTGTATCCTATCACTATTTTTAAATATCAAGCTCTTTTGTTTCTAAATGCCTACCATCTGAATATGTGTTGGAACATTTGCAGGGCCAGGGATGTACATGGATATTTGCCATGTGATTTCCGCGCATGAGACAGGAGGTATTTATATAACTTTAACATCTGGCCGCCAGTGTTGTAATAATGGCAGATCTAGAAAGTACGAAAGTCCTTCTTTGCACTTGCCATGTCTGCCACCAGGTGTCATCATTTACTCCCAGAACAACTGATAAAAGGGAAACCATTGCAACTTCAACATCTTGTGGCAAAACATGTGAGTAACCACTTCCAGTTCCCCAGGAAGAAGAAGAAGAAAAATAATACTTTAAACGACAGTTCTGTGCAGGTCAATCTCAGAACTGCATGGAACATGGATGACAGGCATTATTAATACGTATTTGCAGAAGCAACAATTCTAGACTATCCTTAATGCACAACAGAAATAAGAGAATATAACAAGGAAATTCAAAGACTACATAGTGCAAAAGTTGTTCACCTTGATTTTTGCTGTTGTCCGGGAGAAAGGCTGCATACTGTAGGCCTTTCGAAATAAAAAACAAAACAAAACAAAAACACATGGTCTCTGTGCTGGAACCCATCTGAGGTACATAGGACTAAAACGAATTGAAACATGGATATGGGGAAAGCACACTGTTACAGATAGCATCCTGACTATACAAATACCCCCCCTAAAGCAAACTATATGGACTGCTTTATCTACACCCATTTACCCCTCTTCCCTTTTTGGCCTCCTGAAAGCTTTCCCAAGCAGTTAAAATTAATTAGGAAAACACACACTCAAAGCAAGGACAGAGCCAAAATGGTCCAATCGATGGCACTGTTCGTAATTAGCAGAGGGACTGACGTGCTCACTGAATAACCCCTGGGAAGAGGCAAATGCTCGTATCCTATGACATACAGCATTGGTGGTCAACCCTTTGGAATATCCAGGAAGCGCTTTGATGTTAATGCTTTATGAGATACTTGTCTCCACATTTCATAAATTTTAAAAATGCAAGTTAAAAATAAAATAAAAAAGCGGGGGACAATAGCACCTTGGGAGTGACTGTTGAAAGTAATCAGAAAACCTGGTGCAAATTTGTAAGAGTATTATCCTTGCGTGTAGAAGGGGAGGCTCGTGGGGCCAGTGTACTAGCTAGCAGACAATGGGGACATGATCAAAAAGCTGACTGATAAACATTGCCATTGCAGGGAGAAGTAGGGTTGTTTTAATACAAAATTACACAGTGCAAGTGGAAAAAGAAACCTGTAGACTATAAGGGGAAGTGTTTATGTGGTTCTGGGACTGCACTTTAAAAACAGGTGAAGAACTCATTGTGATACTAACCTTTTTTATTGGTAATCCAGAGTAGTTGTGCTTTTGATTTTTTAACTGTGTGTGTGTGTGTGTGTGTGTGTGCGCGCGCGCGCGCAAACACCCACACCCACACCCACACACACACCAAATATAACTTTCTCACCCATGAAGCTAAACATAGCCCTGCAGTCATCTACTATGGCCTGGCAGGTACCTGTCAACCCTCAGTCAAAGGCCAAGGGCACAAAACAACAGGTTTACTAAACCCCAGGTGGGTTCACCATACATGGCTGGCAGACTGCATTCATGATGCGCTGGATCACAACTCTGTATGCAATTATATAGAACCTCCCAAAGACCAAATATAAAAATAAGACATCCCGCTTAGGATTTCACACGGCTGGGGGGCACTGCCACTGCGGTTTGAGTGATTGACAGCAAATCTGCAATACTCCCGAGGATGTGCACTGGTTTTTTTGCCCGTCTGTGGATTATCCTTTAGCAACAAATATACTTGTAGAGATCCCTTTCTCTTTATCAAAGGAAGGAATATTTGGACGGAACTTTGGCTTTGAGACACCCTGTATTACACATGAATGTGATTTTGGCACTGCACGCATTATGTAAAAGCTATTATTTAAAGAAACGGACACTACTTGGTGGAATAACAAATGTCTTATTTTTGCGTTTGGTCTTTGGGAAGTTCTATAGAATTGCATACAGAGTTGTGATAGCTGTGCTGGATCGCAAGACATGGAGGCCTGGAACAGAATAACTGGCAGTCAGGGTTACTTCGCATGTTACAAGAGTACGTCTTGTATATTACTCCTATTTTCTAAAGGCCCAAGGTGAGTGAGATTATACACATGTGCAGCTGGATCACAGTGTACTAAGGATCAAGGATGCAAGCAAACTTCTTTTAAAAAATGCAGCTCATCTGCATCAGAACTCAATGAACCAAAGGTATATCTGGTGCATTCAAAGACAATGCCTATGCCCAGTAAATATTTTGGACACATGAAAACTGAAAAACAAATGATGTGAAAATTATAACCAAGAGTCTTCATTCTTTTGTACCAACAACAGCATTTGATAGTGGAAGGGGGCAATGTGATGGCAGTAATTAATTTTTTTTTAAAAAAAGAGGGGGGAAACAGTGTTAAAGTTTCTAAATGAATGTCAGTCAGGGTGTTTATTAAACAAACTGAAGCAAACAAAAAATCAGCTTCATTAATTAAAGAAGATATGTAAAGTTTGCATTTATACAACACCTTTCATCTCAGCATTCCAATTTGATTTAATTAAATTAATCTTCGCTATAGCAGTGTGGTGCAAGAATAGTATTAGTGTGGAAGCTATAAATGGGCAAAATCCTTTTAAATGTGGTCCATATGTACATGGGAAGAGAAAGAATCTCACACCTTCTTGGGATCCCCCCCCCTTTTTTTTAATAGAAGCATACAAGACTGTACATATTCTGCAATTCCATGTGAGCACAGAAAATCCACAGAAAATGATACTTGGGTGTACATTCCAGCATTCTGAAAAGCTCAGTTTACTTTCTCCACCACCTTCTGGCTAGGAATATGGGCAATGCATGCTAAAGTCAGAGGAGAGCTCAGAAGATGTTTAAATTTTGATGGGGCAGTGTTTCAGTGCTATATAAAGCTAATGTGCCTTTGCTTGAGTAACTGCAGCATAATAATTATGCAGACTGGGGAAAGATGAGGAGATTTGCTTTATTTATATATCGCCACTTCTGTATGAATTACTTTGGCAATCTTGGGGGAAGGGGGAGGATTTTGTTTTTCCTTTAGTGCAAAGTGCACACAACCCTACGTACATCATGTCTGACACAAATCTCATGGGAATTACTAACCAAACTGAACACTTGAGTCCAGCACCACAAAGTTGATATGGTAGTATGTCTTAGGCCATGTAAAATGTGTCAAGAATATTAAGGTTTCTAATTTTAAAAAATTAACAGCTGAATTAGGGACCAGCAGAAATTCTCCAAGCAAAAATGGAATGAAGGGACAAAAGGTACTTGTAAATATATACAACCATTTTGAATTGCTGTCTACACCTGAACGACCCTGTTCTCTTTTCCCTAGGTCAGTCTTTCCCATCCTGGTGCCCTCCAGCTGTTGTTGGACTCCACCTCCCATCAGCCAGAGCCAGCATGGCCAACGGTCAAGGATGATGGGAGCTGTAGTCCAACAATCTCGAGATCACCACGTTGGGGCAAGGTTGGCTAAATTAGCTCTTCAAAATCTGTTTTTTGTTTTCTAAGGCAGGGTTTCTGCTACTCTGGTATGGATATAATTCCTTAACATTTTAAATGTAGAGTTAAAGGGACCCCTGACCGTTAGGTCCAGTTCGGACGACTCTGGGGTTGCGGCGCTCATCTCGCTTTACTGGCCAAGGGAGCCAGTGTACAGCTTCCGGGTCATGTGGCCAGCATGACTAAGCCGCTTTCTGGCGAACCAGAGCAACACACGGAAACACCGTTTACCTTCTGGCTGGAGCAGTACCTACTTATCTACTTGCACTTTGACGTGCTTTCGAACTGCTAGGTTGGCAGGAGCAGGGACCGAGCAACGGGAGCTCACCCCGTCGTGGGGATTTGAACCGCCGACCTTCCGATCGGCAAGCCCTAGGCTCTGTGGTTTAGACCACAGCGCCACCCGCGTCCATTTTAAATGTAGGCTGCAATGATATACATACATTCCTGGGAGTGAGCCCCACTGAAAACAATGGAACTTATTCCCAAGTAAACATGCATTGGATCATATTATTATTAAGCGATTATCCTTGTCCATAGCTGTCAACTTTCAGATTTGAAAATAAGGGATCAGCAGCCTCACCTGTACCGGGGACAGTTTACGGGATATCTAACAATTTGGGATAGCAGTGGGAAGCAGCGGGAAACGGCGCTGGAATAAGGGCATTTCCCGCAAAAAAAAGGAAGGTTGACAGCTATGTCCTTGTCGCATGAGGTTACCAGCATTCTACTATTCTTCAAGGAACTGGTTTGTAAATGCCTTCATTCAGCATTGTAACCTTATTTCTGAGTCCATAATTTACCTAAAAATTAGCCATTTAGAATTAACTTTTCAAATGGGCCACCTTAACACAGCAATATTATCTTGTTGATGATGCAGCCAATCTTTTCCCAGGGTCCTGGCATACTGACTGATACTGTACAAGTAAATATAAATTAGGTTTTAAATAAGCATATGTTTTAGAAAGTTCTGATTGGGTCAGTCTATACTGTTGCATTATTCCAAGTGATTTGTAATAATTTTTCATTGAATGTAACAACTCATCCTAGATAAAAGCACCCAACTTTTATGGCCCAAATGCCATAAATCTGATAAGGAAGGGAGCTTGGGGTTGGTCTCTGTGGTGATACGCAAGCCAAACTGGGGGCCACTCACCCACCCAGAGGTCCTAATCCTCAGGACTTTAAAGGACAAAAACTGACCACCCCATCCTACCCCTACACCCAGTGAGCCTCCTAAACTCTTGCATGGTAGCTCCTCTGACGGCATTCATCCAGGACCCTTCTGCAAAAAGAACATAAGAACAGCCATTCTTGGTCATACCCATGCCAACAGCAACCAGTATTAGGTGCTTCAAATATAACCTACCAGAACAGGGCAATTAAAGAGCAAACATCTATCCCTAGACATCCTGGCGAAATTCTCCCCCCTCCCCGCTTTTGTGTCATATTTTAAGACTGATAACCCTATGGCCTGGATCCGTTGAACCTACACGACAAGTTCCGTGTGCTCTGGGCTTAGGTTTCCTAAAGAGCAGCTCCCCTCCTTTGAAACTGGGGGGAGCGTATTCAAAAGGAACTTGTGACAGGGTATGTTGTTGAGGGGGGGTGGGAATTCAGGTTAGAATTTTCAGACTAAAGAAGGTGTTTTGATCCTGGCCAACTTCCATTCCTTAAAATTAATCTATGGCTAAAGAATAGTAACATAAGATGAACCTGATGGATCAGGCCAATGGTTCATCTAGTCTACTATCCTGTTCTCACTGTGGCCAACCAGATGCTATGGGGAGCCCAAAAGCAGAACAGCAATCTCCCCATATGTATGTATGTATATACATTATCTATACACACTGGATTGTATTCAGTGCTGGTCCTACTCAGGGTAGACCCATTGAAGTTAATGAGCATGACTTAGTTTCACTTATTTCAAAGAGCCTACTCTGAGTAGGACTAGCATTGGCTAAAACCCATTACAGTCGTACCTCGGAAGTCAAACGCCTTGCAACTCAAACGTTTTGGCTCCCAAACGCCGCAAACCTGGAAGTGAGTGTTCCGGTTTGCAAACGTTATTCAGAACCCGAACGTCCAATGCGGCTTCCGATTGGCTGCAGGAGCTTCCTGCAGCCAATCGGAAGCCGCACCTTGGTTTCTGAACCTTTTGGAAGTCGAACGGACTTCCGGAACGGATTCTGTTTGACTTCCGAGGTACGACTGTATATTGTTTTTTGTAAAAAATAAAGCTAAACTTCCTTCATTCACCTATGAGGCTCTCATCTTGGAAATAATTAGTTTGGTCCTAAAACAGTGGTTCCCAAACTTTCTCCCCCATGGTCCACTTGAAAATTGCCAATGATCTGTCTTCCCAGACCACTTAATGATTTTTTCTGCCTGTTGTAACAATTGTAAGTTTATTTTTATTTTTTATTGTTTGCTCATTGTATACTTTTGTATTACAATTTGAGCTCCATGGAATTCAAATTGCAATACAACATAACAAATAAACGAAGCCATAAAAATACAATGAGAAACCAGCAGGAATTTTTAACGTGACGAATGTGCCATCTTCAATCACAAATTCTCACAAAGCACTTCGTTGAAGCTTGTGGACCACTGGCAGCACACGGGCCACAATTTGGAAACCCCTGTTCTAAAACATTCTTTGCTGGAAACCAAAGCTCTTATAGCTACATGAGACTGCAGAAGGGTAATAACTTTCTATCCAGTAAGTAAAAAAAAGCAAGCTGTCCTGAGGCCCCGTGCACAAGCTGCAAGAACGCACTGCAAATAGCAAGATTGCAAGTCAACGTACCAGGAAATGCAAGGTAAAGCCTTGTGGGAAATATACTCACAATCTCATCTCCAGGCAGCCAGTATCCTTCTTGCTCAATACCAGCTTTAGATCCCTTACATCCCACTGTCAAGGTCTCAACAACTAGGCCGTCCTTCACTGCTAAACTAAGCTGGCGTGTGGTCTCTTTGGGGTGCATACCATGAACCCGAGACATATACCTGCAAAGAGAGCAGAAAACAAGTTCTTACAAAAGCATCTTACTTAATGTTTGCATCTACTGTCCGATACGGAGATGTCTACTCAAACATCCTGAAACACGTTTTAGTTTTTTCCACCCATTATTTCTGCATTTATTAACACTTCCATACTCCGTGTACGCTGTTATCATACATACCAAGGAAGTCCATAATTTTTAGGACTCCCGATTTAGAAAACTCTATTACAACTAACTTAAAAACATTTAAGCTTCCATCAGAAGTAGCTATCGTTGCTGGAAACAGCCTACAGCTCCTGGCGTGGTAGGATCTCTTCCTGCAAGAGAGTTTGGTCTTGCTTTTATGGGGAAGGAAAGAACTGTCACATTGCTGTGGAAAGGGAACCGGCAGAAGTCTTCCTTTTCAACTGGCCATTACCCACCAGAGAAGGCAATAATGAGATTACACCTCCTATACCCACCCAGCACTCCATTTGAGACTCAAGATCTACAAACAAAAAAACCTGCCAATGATGTCAATTAGCATAACAACTTTCATTCAAGCCAATGCACAACAGCGCTGAGGGAAAGCTGCCTAACCCTTTTAAGGGGGATGACTATTGGGAGAATGCAAAGGAAACCTCCAGCTCATCATGGGCTGGCCAGCAATTTGGGAGCATGAATGGAAAAGCATCAAAGCAGAATCAAAGCTTGCCAAATCCCTGGTAACACGTGGTAAATGTATCATGGGAACTGGCAGAAAAGAAAAATATCCGAGTCTAGTATTATTGTCAAGGGAACATATGCACAGTGGCTGTGCAGATTTAGACAATTGGAGAGCTGCTCCCTTTACATTCCTCTAAAAGCAGAGGACTGGGGTGAGGGATCCTGTTGTTTACTCTGATTTGCTAATTCCTCATTGCAGCCTCTTCGTACTCTAGTCTTGTATGGATGCCTGATTATCGTCTTCCAAAGCAACTACTCTATTCCCAATTTAAGAAAGGAAAGTGAAATGTCAGAGGACAACGAAAGAGGTTTAAAGACGCTCTCAAGGCAAATCTATTTTAAAAAATGCAGTATAAGACCAGATCACTGGGAAATACTGGCCTGCGAGCACTCCAATTGGGGAATAGCCTCTACCAAAGGCATCTTGCTAAGAGGAAGGCACATTTGGCAAATCCTCACCATGATCAACTACTGCCCAGAAACCTATGTCCCCACTGCGGAAGGACGTGTGGATCCAGAATTGGCCTCCACAGTCACTTACAGACATATTGTTAAGACCATATTCATGAAAGACAATTTTACTTGGCTATGCATGATCACCAAAGAAGAAGAGTCTTGGACAATTTGATTGCATGTAGAAATTATATCAATAATATCTTCTTTTAACTGAATGGTAAGACAATGCTAAATGAGAGAACCTGCTTCTGCTTCTTTCTTTTAAAGGGCTCTCTCTCTCTTTCCACACAAGTGCACATGTGGCTATCCCATGCTTTCACATAGTAAATTACACACACACACACGCAAAACCACACTGGATATAACAGGTTGTTTTGGTGGTGATGGATACTATATGTAATAAGCTCCTATGACAGGTAACCTAGAACAGCGTTTCCCAAACTTGGGTCTCCAGCTGTTTTGGGACTATAACTCCCATCATCCCTACTTAGTAGGACCAGTGGTCACGGATTACGAGAACTGTAGTCCAAAAACAGCTGAAGACCCAAGTTTGGGAAGCTACTTTCTTTACAAAAGCTTCAAGAGAATTAGGTTGTACTGCAGTATTAAGAATAAAAGGACATTTCTGAATGGCTGACAACATAACAAGGGAAGTAACCAAACCAAACCAAACCAAACCAAACCTACTGGGCTTGAGTTTACCAGGGAGGAAGCAATGGAAAGCTGAAATGGAGATGAATTGAATTTGGAAATCCATGATTCCAAGTCTTAGAATTTTAGTGCATGTATTGTCATGGCTATGCATAGCCAACAAAGCAGGTATAAAAGCACTGATTTAGTGTAGGTATCAATGCAATTTTTATTTTGTTTTGAATTTTTTTTTAAAAAAACCACCTTACAGATGTTCAATTTCCTGCCAGAGAAACATCAGTGCAGAAGAAGAAATAATAATTCCAGAAGTATACAGACAGAATAAAATAAGATGGCAGGCAAGTGCTACTGAAGAAAACAGCGTAAAACACCAGTACAGTTTTGTTTTTTGAAAAGGAAAGTAACCTTTCAGGAGACTCTGAAGTGGTGGTGTAATCTAGCAAGAGAAAACGTCCAATTGCTCTCCTGGTACTCAAATAAGAACCAAGTAAAATGGTGCTGGCTCCAACCCCTGGCCTTAAGCAACAGAGACCTGTCAGCCAATGGACTGGAGCCAGAAGGCTGTCTGCTTATGCCGACGTTCTAGAACTTTCTGCACGTCCGCCATTTTTTAGTCGCCCTCCTCTGCTGCCTCTCTCATTGAGTGATTGCAAAGAGGATATGGAAGAGGGGGAAGCAGAAATCTTAAAGACGCTAGAGTGACAGTCCTGGATATTATCAAAGTAAAGCAAGGGGAAAACTCCCGCACATGTTAGTTACTAACACAAGGAGTTGGCTTCTGCTGCTAATAGGGCGCAAGAAACCATCTTGCACGGCAGGCAGAGATAAAGCAACCCCTCGTAGCTGTTCTCTTGAAAGATCTGATTATCCTTACCTTGGAGGAAGGGAGCTGAGGCAACTTATTTGCGTTCAGCCTCTGGTCAACAGATTGGGAAGCATTTTACACTCCTTAGGCTGTTTTCCAGTCAGGCGGGAGGAGGAAAGCAAATATGTTTGCAGATGGGTAAGTACATGGCAGAGAAACAAAGTTAATTCCCCTAAGACACCGAACCAGCCTTTAAGCGGCCAGGAGGCTGAAACAACCCGTCTGCACTGCAACTTCTCAGGCAGGAGAAGTTAATGCTAATCTCCACTAGCTAAAATAAAGACCTGTCTGCTGAAATAAAGAGGTTCTTCCTGATAATCTACTTGTTAGATTCCTGATCTGGCCAGATGAGGCTGTCTGCCCACAGGGCACAGAAGGGGGAGAGAGAGAGAAAGAGGGAGGGAGAGGGAAAGAAACTTAGGTCACAGCTCAGTAGACTGGTATTTATAGCTCAGGCTTCTCAGGATTTACTCATCTACAAACAGAGAATACAAAACCCATTTAGATTACTACAAGGTTGCGCAGCAGGAATCCTGCGCAAGAGAACAAGCTCACTCTAAATGCTACGATATAAACAAGCAACTCTACCTATTCCTTTTGGTTTAAATAGCGCCTAACGCACTCAGTTTCTTACCAATATGGGGGGGGAGAAGCCCCCTCAAGTTTCAAAACTCTTAAAAATGCAAACTCATTTGAATTACGAGTAATGCTGACCTGTCAAGAAGATCTGTATAAATACGAATGCTGAAGGTGCCAGCTATTGTTTTTACCATTTAAATTTCATTACGCATATGGCTATATTATTTATTGATTGTATTTTTATACGGCAGAATACAAAAGGAACAAAACCATTGAGATGTATGTCTCTGACACTCCCCAAAATAGTCTCATCTGGCTGAACCTCACCACAATCCACTTGTGGTGTCACTTTTATTCCCGTTACACAAAAAGAGGAAGCGAAGCTGAAATCCTTTTGAACATTTTGGGGGCTCTGCACTTTCAGTGAACTCATGCAGGGCAGAAGGTATCCTTGCGGCAGCAAGATCTCGCTCTCACTGCCTGCAAGTTGAATCATACACTTGGTGCATGCAATAGAAACTTTGCAGATATGAAACATACTGCACACAGAGTTGAGCTACATTCACTGAATGCACAAGGCCTCCTCACCTCATTAATATCTCTAAGAGGCTTTAGTGACTTGCTATCGAAGGGCATCAATACAGACTCACGATGGGAGCTAACATATGAATCCACTAGTTTTCAGGTTACAGGAAAAAATGTGCCCCCC